GTCTGATTTTTTTTTAAGGAGATAAATGAAGGTAAATCTTGTGAAATGATCTATAAAGCTCTCATAACAAGAGTAACCATTCCTAGATTTGATAGGTGTTGGCCCCCGCAGATCACTATGTATGAGTTCCAAGGGTTCTGAGGTTGTATAACTTGAGTGTGAGTAAGGTAATCTGTGGCTTTTACTCATCACACATGAACTGCATAAACTGGCCTTTTCATTAATAACAAAGAGAACATTACAATATTCAAGAGCTTTCTTAACTACATCACGACTGACATGACCCAACCTTTGATGCCTTAAGTCAAACTCATAAGCCTTATTCAAACTGAAACTAACTTCATCGTGGCTTCTAGAACTGGAAAAACCCTTAAGGGTGACAGATGACTGAAACTGGTGATTGTTGAGATCAAACTGATATAGACCATCTTTAACCTTCCCTTGAGCAGGACCTTTTGAGTTGTTTGATCCTTTACAAAACAAGAATGAGCATGAAATTCAAAGATGACTTTGTTATCTAAGGCAAACTGAGAGACATTCAAAAGGTTCTTTGTGATATTTAGGACATGAAGAAGGTTGTTTAGAACAAAAACTCTTGAGTGTGAAGGTGATTTAATATAAGAGTTACCATTATGCAAGATGCTTATACCTGCTCCATTACCTAACTACAACTTGTGTTGGCCTGAGTACTCACATGCTGAGTTGAAATTGCCATAATCATTTGTGATGTGGTTGCTGGCACCAGAATCAGGGAACCACATAGAACTTTCTTGGCCACTTTCAGAAGCTGCATAGGTGTTCGTTTGAGCAACATTGAGGTTGGGTGATTTACTTTCTTGCATATTCTGATTCTGTTGGCTTGTGAAATTTGTATCAACCCTATACCAGCATTTCGTGGCACTATGCCCATCCTTTTGACATATTTTACAGCAACCACCTCTGCCTCTGAAACCTCCCATTTCTCCTCTTCCTCAACTGTTGTTGAATTCACCTATAGCTTTTCCTTATGCTGATTAAAGCTCCTCCTTTGGTTCTGGTTTCTTTGAGAAATGGTGTTGAGAGAGGGTTGTGAACCATTTGTGCTCACACTTCCAATACTATAGGACTAAAGCCTATTTTCATAGCTTAGCAACAAAGCTTTAAGATCCACAATAGAGAAGGATTCTGGCCTTGAAGTGACTGTGACCACCACAGAGTCATACTCTGATCCTAAGCCTCCAAGGATGTGCATGATCTTGTTGCTTTCAGAAATGGCTTCACTTGCTGAGGCCAACATATCGAGGATGGATTTAATCTTCCTTAGGTACTCAGTCGTGGAAAGACTTCCCTTTCTGGAGTTGCATTTTATGTTGCATGACCTTAGCCTTTGATTGGCTTGCAAAATTTCTTTCCAGAGCATCACATATGTCTTTGGAGCTGCTCAATCCAACCATTAGCACCAAGATCCCTTCTGAGAAAAAACATAGCATCCAAGAAGCAGGCAAAGAGTCTTGTCTCTCCCATAGGATGAAATCAGGATTGATAGTGGTTTCTCCTTCAAGGTATTTAGCAAGAGGTGTTGTGTCCTACTTGATGAAGGATTCGAACCCATATCCTTTGATTGTAGTGAGAATCTACTGCTTCCATATGAGGTAATTATCTTGCTCAAGCTTGGTACAGATAAACTGCTTTAAGGAAAAATAAGAGGCGAGGAAGACATGCTGCCATGAGCTCCTGAGACAAAGGACTGATGTGAATCACTCATGATGAAAAATAATCTTAAAACAAAGGAAAAAATAGAAATGAGGTGAGGACTAGGAGGATATTAGAGACATGTACTCAACCATGCTCTGATACCATGTGAGAAAATATGGAAAAACCGAAGGTAAATGACATGAACATGAAATTGGGCTTCATAGCTTTTCTATATTTAGTTCACCATAAGAACACTAATTACAATGCTGGCCTTATATACATTTTAGAGCAAAGATGTAGAAGCATCCTATTTGTGGATAATATCCATCATTCATATCCAAATCATTCTGAGAATTCAATCTATACGTGCATGGTGTGAGATGGTAGGGTATAAAAGAGTCGTTGCACTATTTTAGCTGGGAGTGCTAGTTGGCAATGTGCAGATGCATGCCTCAGGTGCTGCTGCTTCCTTGTCTTCACATGCAGCATCATGTTGGACGTCATCATGGTGAGGTAAGCATGGAGATTAAGGTAATTTCACACTATTTGTATTTGTGTGTTTCTATCTATAAAGCCTATCGTTTTAGAAAAAAAAAAATAAAAAATATGGAATCAATATGTAATACAATTACCTACATTAATTTATTGAAAATATCATATAAAATTTAAACTGTGCAAAACTACATATAACATGTGTATTTAGAATTAGCACAAAACTCGTAAGGTGTATGCAACTCATAATAAAATACATTATATTCAGTAATTGTCATTTTGAAAATTTTATTCAGAAATTTGATTTGACTATAATGTTATTCCATAAAATAATTGTCTTGGAAAATCTACCAATCCTGAGCAGGCATAGTTGGGAAATATTTTATCTTATACTTAAACTTCGATGTGAATAATAAGTATAATTATTAAACTTATATTGCTTCATTGATTAAAATGGATTTATTTTTGTATAAGCTATCCAAATCAAAAAATTTAAGTAGTTGAGTAATTTATTAATCTATAAATAATTGAATATTCCATTTACATTCAAGTTAATATTGACCCACAAGTAATGAATAATTACTTATTTAGTTTTTAACTTTTGAACCCAAATTTGGAGCACATTAAATCCTGTTATATAATTCTTATATATATATATATATATATATATATATATATTATCTCGCAATTTTCTAGATTTATTGTCAGTTACCTTATCATTCAAATTTATTAACTAATTATCTAGAATTAAATTACAAAATTTATTTTTTATTAACCAATATTTGTTCAAATATCTTTTTTATTTTACGAAGAATACATACCAATTTGCTAAACTATCATCAATATCTTATGACAAGTTATTATGGGAATATGCTAAAATTTGAAAATGATATCACATTAAATTTATAACAAATCAACCTAATATTCGACTTTCATACTCATACTAAAGAAAATTCATATCACTTAATTATTTCGTTTTCAAAATTTCCAAATACACTTATATCCATATCAAATAAATTTAATACTATTTAAATTCTCCTATTGGGAGTTTACACCCGGATATTACCCTGTTGGGGTTTTTTTTTTTATTTGTGTATTTTTTGGTATTATTTTGTTGGGCTATTTTTATATTTGTGTTGGTTGTGTGCTAGTATTCTAGCATTGCTAGTTTGTATTCCGTCTAGGTTGCATTGGTTGTGTGTAACCTCTCATTCCCCGGCTTCGGGGCTCGTCTGTGTAATTTGCCTGCTTGGGCCTTCTTTATGAATATTTTTATGCCGTTGGAAAAAATAAATAAATAAATAAATAAATAATAAAAAATCTGACATTTCGTACCAAAATAAGGTCGTCCACTTTATACAAGAAATTCAGACATTTAGTAATAACAACACATTTTCTACAAAAAAAAAAAAA